TAAAGGCACAGGAAACAAAAGCAGACACAATGAAGGGGAGCTACACTTGGAAAAAAGAAAGGGCCTGAGTTTGTCTTCATGGCCGGCCCCCATCTTAGAGCACGTGGGTAAGATCTGTGCCCAACCTTCTTGAGTAGCCAGTGGACAGATCTGCGGGCACCCACCGTCAGAAAGTGAAAGCAGCAAGCGTGGAAAGGAGAAATCCACATAAGAGGAGCCCTCGATCACACACCTACATGCCCAGAGCTTACATGTGAACCACCCAGGCAAAGGGCACGCTCCGCATGGCCTGGCTGATGGGAAACGGACAGACAAGGCTTCTGTGGTTGCCTGACAGGATGCAGCGTGGGTATGCCAGAACACAACACATCACAACATCCAGGGAAGTATTCAAAGTACTAATCGTACTAACAGGAAAACGTTACCCATACTGAAGAGAAAAGAGACACCAAGACCAACCTCAAGAGGATTAGCTGTTGAAATGGCAGACAAAAATTCTGAAGACAGCTCTCATAACTATGAAGGATACCAAATATACATGTAATAAATAAAAAGAGAGGAAATCTCAGCAGAAAAATAAGAACAAATATTTTTTAAAAAGCAAACAAAAATGCCACAACCTAAAAACAGAACATCTGACATATACAGGTTGCTGGGTACTCAAAATTGGAGGTGACAGAAGTCACATGAGCATGAGAACAGATCTGAAGAAGGGGAGACTGCAGAAAAAAGAAGAGAGTCACAGGAACCCACAGGACCATATGACAACCCACGCACTGGAGTGCAAAAGGAGAGGACACTACAGAACAGAAAATGTATTTGAGATATTGCCTAAAATGTCCCAAATTTAGTAAAGGACAAAACTTTACAAATTCAAGATGCTGAAGCACAATAAATACAAAGAAAAATCACACCAAGGCACATGATAATCAAACTGCTAAAAAACAAAGAAAAAGCTTTAAAGTGCTAAAAGGAAAAAAAATGTCAACCCCAGAAATCAATATATCCAGCAGAAATACTCTTCAAAAATGAAGGAAAACAGGGGCACCTGGCTAGCTCAGTCCACGGAGTGCTCAACATTCAATGTCAGGGTCACGAGTGCAAGCTCCACGCTGGGGGTAGAGTTTACTTAAAAAAATAGAATAGCGGGGCGCCTGGGTGGCTCAGTCGTTAAGCATCTGCCTCTGGCTCAGGCCATGGTCCCAGGGTCCTGGGATCGAGTCCCGCATCAGGCT